ACTTGTTAAAGCATACAACGGATGCTTTGAGAAGACAACACAACTGGCTGAGCTTGCTCGTTTGATGGCCATGATTGACCTAAGTTGATAAAAAATGGGAAGCAACTGTTCCTTCGCCATGCGCTCGACACTTTGAAGTGAAAGTTGCAGGTCCTTTGGATGAGACCTTAAAAACCAAGGTCCCTTGTTAGCGGCAGGCGTTGGCACGATAAAGATCCCTCACTTCTCAATGGCCCTGAGTGCCGAGTAAAGGTCAAAATTTGAAGCCCTTCACCGGCATTCGGTGATGTCTCCATATGAGTGATAAATTTTCGAGAGGGACGTTAAACAATAAACAAACAATTATGATCGATTAGCTAAAGGGGTGTCAACACTGTGACTCGAACCTACAACCCTCAGATTTAAAATCCAACGCTCTACCGACTGAGCTAAAGGGTTAACCCACTAGCTAGTGCTAGTAGGAGCGTGGCCTCACTATTTACAACACAACACCTTGCCACTTTAAACTCTGTTACACAATCAATCAATAGAATGCTATAGAAAACATTGCTACATGTAATATAATGATACTATATGCTTGTGCCCCCTCAGTATAAAAAACGTACAATGACTTTTTTTGCTTGTCGGGGAATTTTTTAGATTTGTCTGAACTTCGAGCCTCTATAGTGTTGTATAAGCACAAAAACAATGTTGCATCGTTCTTCTTTTGATGTCTCCTCAACTGCCTCTAATATACAGTCATTCATCCTTAAGAAGGATATGGAGATAACGAACAGTATTTAATCTCAAAGTCAGAGCAGAGCAAACACGGACCTCCGAAACATCAGAGGTGGGATCAGGTGCCATGGAGGAGTGAGCATCCCCTGCCGACCGGTCACACCCGCCGGGTACTCGTTCTCATGATCAGGAAATAACGGAAAAAATCCGTCGTCAATTCAGTGTATAAATAATGGACTAACATTTGGTATGAAAATGCAGTCAGCATTTGACTCAGTGATAAATTGTATTTGCTGACAAGGTCATTGTATCGACCATAGAACTTACGAAATTATGACTTTAAACGAGACTGCTGATATTCTTGTTTTATCAACTTGCTTGTCAATAATTTACCTCGTTTAAGAAATTGTTCATACGTAGAGCATGCTCTTGCGTATCGAATCAACTGAGATATATATACTCCGGATGCAGGTGATGAAGGTATATTGCTATATAAGTAAGGGAAGTTGACGATAGAAAAGTTAGTCATCACGTTTATCATATAGCTTGGTTGTTAGATTACCATTAGTGTCTTTTTCAAGTAAAATATCCAAATATGAAGCAGAAGTGTCGGACTCTGTGGTATCTTTTATTTCAAGCTCACTAGGATATATCGTATCGAAGTAGGAATGGAAATTATCATTATTAATTGACAATACGTCGTCGATATATCTAAATGTCGAGTTGAAGGCCACAGCAAGTGTTTTCTTCTTTTCACGCATAAGATTTTGCATAAATTCTGCTTCATATGAATATAAAAAAACGGAGCGCAATTTGTACCCATGGGAATTCCAATAGATTGTTGGAATACCTGGTCTCCAAAAACCACATAGATATTGTCAATCAGAAACTCAAACATCTTCTTGATGTCAACTTCAGAGTATTTATGTGTGAAATCAGAATCTGTTTTAACAAAATAATTTTGCAAATGACCAATGACGAGATAAGTAAATTTGCGAGTTCCATTTTTATTGAAGAAGCAGCTGTCAATGATATCAAAAAGCCTGGATTTTAATTTGTCGTGGGAAATTGTTGTGTATAAAGTTGAAAAGTCGTAAGTTTTTAAGCTGTTGATTTTTGTAAAGTCTTGTTATTTCAAATTGTCCAAAAGTTCTTTAGAATTTTTAAGTATCCACATATGATTTACACCACTTCTTGAATATATAGTTGCACAGTACTCTTGAAGTTTTTCCTTCACTACTGTTAATATCTTAGTGAGAAGTAACGAAAGAGGCTTGGTTGAACATTTACTGGAACCTGCAATGTATCTTTGTTTGTAAGGATTCTTATGAAGTTTTGGAATCCAATATATATAAGGTAGTTCAAATTCATTTTGGCTTTGTGGAATATTAAAAGTATTCAAACTAACAGGTGATTTTGAAGAATTTCTTCCTTAGAAAGAGAAGTATGAGTATAAGTAGGATTACCAATTGTATTCTTCTAGAATGCAATTTATATAATGAGCCTTACAAACGAAGACAATGTTGTTACCTGCTTTGTCGGCAGGAACCAGTACATACTGATCGTGTAATCTATCTAATTCTTTTTTCACAGTCTGGTTTATTTAACACAGAAGGATAGATGGTTTTCATTTTCCCCTCAGTCTTTTAATACGTGACTTTAACATGGATCTGATACATTTAATCTATTCTGAAAAGATGTAAATGTCTTCTTTTTCATATCTGGTCCATCGTCTGGCGTAGTTTTAAATTTAACGGTAATTAATCATTATCGCGCATTTGTTTTATAAAAACATTGTTAATACAACAATTTTATTGTTTTTAAATTTACTTGAAAAGCAGGAGGGTATAGTATATCAGACGGACGGACGTACATAAAGACGGACAGACATATCGATTACTATATACCCTCCTGCTGTTCAAGCATATTTAAAAACAATAAAATTGTGAACACATGACATATATCGACAAACGGGAACCAAAACAGATTAAGTCAAATGGGTAACTCGGGAGACCTACATTTACTTTTAAAATGTTGTATTAACAATGTTTTTATAAAACAAATGCGCGATAATGATTAATTTCCTTTTAACTTCTTAATTTAATAACTGTATTAGAGGAAGTTGAGGAGACATAAAAAATAGAACGATGCAACATTGTTTTTGTGCTTATACAACACTAAAGAGGCTCGTAGGGAGTACAAAATGTATTCCGTGGGAGGGGGCACTCTGAAAAATTACTCGACAAGCAAAAAAAGTCATTATACGGTTTTTATACTGAGGGGGCACAAGCATATAGTAGCATTATAGTACATGTAGTATTCCATTGATTGATTATATATTGTTTAAGGTCCCAATCGAGAATTTATCACTCATATGGAGACTTCGCCGTATGCCGGTGAAGGGCTTCAAATTTTGACCTTTACTCCGCACTCAAGGCTATTGAGCAGTGAGGGATCTTTATCGTGCCAACGCCTGCCGCTAACAAGGGACCTTGGTTTTTAAGGTCTCGTCCAAAGGACCTGCAACTTCCACTTCAAAGTGCCGATGGTGAAGGAACAGCTGCTTCCCATTTTTTTTAATCAACTTAGATCAGTCTTGGCCGAGATGTGAACTCACTACCCCCCGATCACATAGCGAGCGCTCTACTGACTGAGCTACCGGGAACGGCTATAGTATTCTATTCATTGCAAAATTATTGGGGGCATCCTCCCCTTTTCTGGTTTCTACAGCCATGCTAAAAGAAAATATGACCTCAAAAAGCATAAACACACCAGGCATGATGTAAAATCACAAACTACTGCTGTTTGTTTTGGAAAAGTGCCATATATAAATAATATAGCCTTATGCGATAACTTTTTGGAAAATTTACATGCACTCAAAGGCTTTACGCTGATTGAACTTGGTCGGTTGATTACATGTAGGTCATGAAATTGTAAGCTTTGAAATGATTTTTTTAGACATGATTCTGAATAATATATTTGTGTTGGTGTCTCATTTCATTTTGAATAATTTTGTCTTTTACTTCTTATCTTACTCTTTGTTATATAGTCATTTTCAGAACTGATACCCCATTCAAATGTTAGAAGAAAAAAAATTCCCTCGCTTTCACTGAAAGGGAGGGATATTAATTTGGGTCTAGCTATCCTGTCCGTCCGTCTAGCTGTCTATCTGTCTGTAACACTTTCGTTTCTGCGTGATATCTCAAGGTTTTGAGATTTGGCGATGAAATTTCTCCCTGTGGCCTAATTAAGGAGGACTCTTATTGAGTTTTTAATATAAAAATACATTACAAAAGCGCAGAAGCTACTCGAGATATCGCGAGGAAACGAACGAAAGTGTGAAAGACGGACAGAAAGACGGACGGACTGACAGACGACCAGACATTCCCAATTCCCAATTACCCATTTTAGTAAAAGCGGGAAAGAAAAATTGATATTGGAATTCAATTGTACCTCAATACATGATTGAAATTTATTTGCCGATGAAGTCATTTAACTTGATAATTTATAAGATTAACCCTATAATATATCAGATTGTTGCCTATTTTCCTTACATTTTGGTTTTATTCATAAAATATTCAGGAAATAAGTAAATGTTTATTACAAAAACAATTACAGTTTAAAAATAAATTTACATTCTGAGAAAAAGTGAAGCCAGAAAAACGATACATTTTTAATAAAAGTGTACACAAAATCACCGTAAAAAAAGCACACATATTATATATTTTTAATTTTACTTTATTTCTGTCCTCATATCTCTGTATAAAATTGAAAATTTGTGAAGGGATAAATAAATTCAGTTTAGATCATCAGCACATCTGAAATTTGACGGAAAAAGTCTGTTTTATCCTTAAATACAAGAAACAGTTGTACACTGCCTGGGTATCGAAACAAACATTTGAAACAAACACTCCGGCATGTTTATGTTCTTCTTCACCCTGTTGGATATGTCATTATTGGTGACGTATATATAGATGACAATTAAAAAAATGATCATGACATGATAGCATAACATACAATAGGACAAAATGTCAAGGTCTTTTTTTTCAGGATTCACCATTCCTTAGCAAAATTATTCACAGAATTCAAAGTATTCATGTAAGCTTAATTATATTAAAAAAATCAGAGTTCCCTAATTTTTTTTATACAAAATATGAATACAAATATTATCTCTCAATGTACTTTACATGGATCAGGTACATATAATTACAATTAATACCGATAAGACAGTGACTTAGCTCTTCTTGTCTATATGTCTGTATATATTTCTAGCAAATTGAAGTTTATGAAATATCTGCAAGATAATCTTGTCGTTCTACATATCTGTATACACACAGTTTGTTGTTGTTTGTTGATACAATCCAAACAAGATGATTTTTCTCTTCATATCCCAAACCTAATGGCTGAACCATTCCATCTTGTCTTGTTGGTATAATTGACAGGAGATGGCCGTCCTTGTCAATCACGTGTATTGCGTGGTCCGTTCGACTACAGATGAGTATATTTAAAAATGCATCCACACAGGTTCCATATGGAATAAAAAACATCAATGCTGATCCATTCGGTGATCCTCTGTAAGTAAAACGATAATTTCCTTTAATATCTGTGACCACCAATCCACTGATTTTATCAGACACAACAACATCTCCATTTCGGTTCTCCGTGATATAGATAGGTCCACTATATAATTGCAGACCTAAGCTACCATACTGGATGAATTGTACTGGTTGCATTCTGCTATTATACCGAATGATTTTCACCTCGGAATCAATATACTTTCTAGCATTAAACTTCATCATGACCAGAAGATCTCCAGTGAAAGGTGCATAACAGATACACAGTGGTTCCCATAGTTCTAGTCTCTTAATCAGTGTCGACTTTGTAGTATTGTCTGCACTTAGTTTATTAATGTTCAGGTTTGTGTCTACATAAATCAGTTCTCCTGCATTGTTAACCGTATGTACTCCATAGTGATTTTTAACATCAAAGAAATGATGCAGATTTTCACCTTCAGAATTTGTCAAAATAAGACTGCATCCATCACTGACCCAAATCCTATCTGGTGTCACAAAGGAAATGTGTCCACCATGATTTAAGTTAGTCACAACAACATTATTAATATTAATGATAGGCCCTTTTATCAGTCTCAACAAATGTTCATTTCTTGCTTGTCTTTTCCCTGTCTCTGTAGTTTTGATGTCAACCAACAGCTCAAAAATGTCCCTTATACTTATTTCTAAACTAAAATTCCACTTTATGTTATCAGGAAGTTCTATTGTCTTGGGGACAGGGGTTTTCTTTGTGAACAGCAGAAACTTGACAGGCTTCTTCGCCAGTTTCTCGTATCTAAGTACATATTCCTTTATATTTTGATGCTTCAATACAAAATCCATATAAATATTTGTTTGATGTAAATCATTTAGTGCCTTACTATGTATTTCGATAAGTTTTATCAAGTTTGCAGCTTTAATTGCAAGCTCTTGTTGGATGCTGGAGAGTTTTGCTTTCAATGATTTTCTGTCTATTTTGACGTCAGATTTGAGACCTGCTAGGATCGCACGATTATATGGGAGACTCTCGCCTCTAATCTGAATAAGTCTTTCCCTGTGTTCCTGTCTTTGAGCCGTGCAGGCTGATATGATATCCAGAATTCTATGTCCTTGATGTTCATCAGTTCTATCACAGGTGGGACACTCACAGGATTTGCACCAAATTTTATATTTGCAGTTTGGGTGTATATCACATGACTCCGGTATTATAAAGTCCCCATGCTTTAAACGGTAAATAACGACATCATGGCCTTTGGTATCGAGGTACATAGCGTGTTTCTGCTTACACGTAATACAAAGATTTTGTTTGCATGGCCTACAGTAAAATTCTACGTCATTCTGACACTGACAGCACTGAAGCACTTTAAGTTGTGTTGTAATATCCTTATTCATGGTGTTACTTAAATATGTTTCTCATTTCGGATCAAAATGTCACTTCAGAGGACAGTCTACAATAAAAATATAATTTTTTCATAGACATTAATTTTCAACATGTAAAATGATTTTTAAAAATAAATGTACTTCTTCACTAAAACAAGTACCCCCCCCCCCCCCCAGTAGTACCTAATGTCCTTTTAGTAACATAATTTCTTCAATCCTTATCCTTTTTGAAAGAGCATATTTAAAACTTACAGATTTTGCAACTACTGTGGTTTAATCAATATTCGTTGAGCACCAATTTTCGTGGATTTCGTTATCTCCATATGTTTCACATTAACAAAGTACGTCATGCCTTGAAAACATTTCTTGCAGGCTAAGCAGCTATTTTTCTCCTTTTTCATGCAACGTTATTAACATCGAATTACGTGTTGAAAATTAATAGATTGAATTGAAATGAAGACATATTTTGCCACTATAAGCGTGAGATTATTTATAAAAAAAAAGTTACAGGTTATGTGCAAAAACTTCTATTTATACAGTTACTATCAATGTATTACTAGAACATGTATGTAAGGTGCACACTGACCCTTTTTGTAATTTCGAGTGACTAGGATCAAACGGCGAGTGTGACCGGTCGGCAGCTCCCTAGCACCTGATTCCACCTCCGATGTTTCAAAGTTTTGAGTTTGATCTGCTCTTATTTCGTAATGTTTTAAGCTCTTTTGAGCTTGAATACTGTTCATTATCTCCATATGTTTTATATCTAAAATATACTTTTAATTCTTGAGATAAGCAAGGTTAGGCGTGACTTATTTAAATGAAATATTATTGTGATTACAACAGTCTGAACAAGAGATGAACTGTCTTATTATAACAATTACACATTTTCTTCAAAAAATTATAAATGTTCTTATATAAGTAAAATATCTAAATTTAGCCTAGTAAAAATTTAGATTTATAAATACTTCTCAGTCGTGTTTTAATTTTCACTGTAAATAAACAAAGTTTGAAGATGTAAATTGAATGGTCCAGTGAGTTTCTTGATATCTTTCAATTTTAAATTCAAAATTCATAAATCACATTTAAATATATATAAAATGAAAGCCTAAAAAATATTCAACATTAGTTTCACTGGAAAACTACAGGAAGAATTTAATTTTTCTCACTTGAAAGTTACTTCAAGTTAATTTCACGGCGAGTAGAGCAGAATCTCTCAATACAAATTATCCTGGGGGCGAATCATTGTTGTTTCAACACTTATTAACCCAGTTTTCCTCCACCTGATAAAAATATGCTACGGCTAATAAAATAGTTTTCAATAATTTTTTGTCTACTTACGAAATAATATTCATCACAGAATTTCATCTTATCTGTTAGAAATGGACAGTGAACTCTTTACAATCAACAGCGGCCAAAAATCAAAACATTTTGTCTGGTGTAGAAATGTCATCCATGTAAAGGGAACGTGAACAAATAAGAGTGGGTCAAACCGAGACCCAGGTGACTGGGTCATTGCAAGTTTTGAAAGATGGGAAAACATTAGAACGTACTCTCAGTCACATTTCTCTGTTTTAGTAAGATTACATTATTGTATTATATCCACATGTACATCCACTTAAATTTCTCTTTATTTCTTATGAAGACCATATTAAATTGCCATTAATCAGTGCATAAATAACACTAAGCAAGGCACTTGCATATATATCTTGAACACTGGCTATTCCATCAATTATGTATACAATGACATATCTATCTTTTATTCAATATTTTACCTATTTAATTTTACTTTGAATGTTTTTTATACAAATGTAAATATAAACAATATATTGTCTTTCTTTGTTTGCTAGTACGGGAATTAACGTCGCTGTTATTGCAGAAAAAAATTATATTCCAATCTTACGGGGGTTATGTATTCTTCTCTACAACAGTTGCGACATTACTTTCAGCACAAAAGAAAGCATTTTATCATTTATTTTAATTAAGTTTAATTCTGACCTAATATTTTCTTGTGAATCAATTTAACTTTAAGTTTCTTTATGCTGGGAATGAATTTTTACAATGAAATATATATTAATTATAATAAAGAGCAAAGATTGTCTCAAAATGAATAAGAGAGAATGTTAATTACATTAATATGTTCTATTTTATAAATATACAAGATATATTTCTAAAATCAATTCTTATCATTGACTTCTTTTCATACTATAAGATAACAACTTGCCTTGCTAAGCCATGATAAAACAAGTTAATAATATTTTACTCTTTATTCAAACTTCATGTATATGATAACAATGGATCAATATTTTGTGAATTATTCAGTAATATTTTACGCATTTTTGATAATTTTATGTAGCTATTAAAACGTAATGGAATGATGAATATATATGTTGTTTATACCTATGTGATCATTTATACTAAAATAAAGTACTAAACTGTTTCAAATGAAATACTTTTGTACAATCAAATATATAGTATTATCAAAGAAATCAATATTGTACAGGACGACAGTCATGTAATTTTGCTTCAATCAAAGCTTATAAATAGTTCTTTTATTACAAATGGAAGCACCAAAGGCTTTTAAACATGTTTTATCTTTCCTTGAAATAGTTCAATACAATTTTGCAATAAAAATTTCTGACATCAAAGTTGCAGCCCATATTGCTTTAAAGAATCGTGAATGAGAGATGGGTATTCCAATGTGTTACGGAAGAACATACTTATCAATATATAACCCTCCCCACAGCAATCGCTTAATTATTCTATGCTGTCTACAATGCATGGATTTACAAAAATATAGTTTTTATTCATAATTTTTATATTTATTTTTGGATTCTTTTAAACTTTTGCAAATTCTAAATAAACGTCTGTCTGATTTGTAATGTGGATTGATTGATTGATTGTATATTGTTTAACGTCCCACTTGAGAATTTTTCACTCATATGGAGACGTCACCGTATGCCGATGAAGGGCTTCAAATTTAGACCTATACTCGGCACTCAGGGCCATTGAGCAGTGAGTGTTCTTTATCGTGCCAGCGCCTACCGTGACACGGGACCTACGTTTTTAAGGTCATATCCGAAAGACCCGTGACTTTCACTTCTGGTGCCGAGCGCTTGGCGAAGGAACAGTCACTACCTTTGTTTACGTCTTAGGTATGACGCGGCGCCGCGAACTAGAATCGAACCCGGGCCTCCCGACCACGAAGCGAACGCTCTACCACTAGGCTACCGTGACCGGTTTTGTAATGTGGACGAAATTAAAATATTATTGTACAAATGTTGACGCAGTTATGTTTTAACAATTCATTGGTTCTTTAAAAACGATTTCTCTTTGATCTATAAATAGATATTTCGTTTTTATATAACCTAGCAGTCTGCACTTCTTCTAACAGCATAAATTATCTATTTGTTTTAAACAGACAGTAATTGGTTTTAGTTATATTAATTTAGAAAGTCAAAGAATATTTGATGAAGTTGTTCCCACGAAATAGTCCCTTAAATTTTCCATCCATATTGTATTTTACTGCACAGAAATGGATAACACTCCAAAACAAGATATTTTGTATTACACATGTTTACTGCTTCTGTTTCTGTTTTGTATTGTTTTATGGATTTTTGATCTTGGATACAGTTCGTTATCTCGAGATGTTTAACAATGATTACGACTAATTTTTCAATTTAAAAAACTTATCTCTAAAACAAATAAATTTAAAGTTTACAAAGGATAATTCTTCTATATTTCCTCTTTCTTCTCTTTGATGTTTTATGTGTGGAAATTTTTTTTATTTTAGGTTTATTAAAAATTGTGATTTCGGAATGACACGACAAATGGATTCTTCCCTGTTCTAATTTAAAATTTTCAGAAAAAAAATTTTGACATTGAGGAAATTAAAAATTATATATGGCACCTAATCCCACCTCTGATGTTTTGGAGGTTTGTGTTAGCTCTGCCCATGTTTTGTATTGTTTTTTTAGACATTTGATCTTAAATGCTGCTTGATATCCTCATATGTTTCACATACAGTATTGTCTGTAAAAAAAAAATAATGTACAAAGAACATGTATGTAGTCATAATACAAAGGGTACGGCTCTAAGCTTTTTAAAGTGATAATAATAAATTTCAGAATTGAAATTTCCTTAATTTAACTACAGTATAATCATACATAACCTTTTTTTGTTGAGTATATAACGTGGGAAGGCAGTTACGCAAGAACTTTCGACAGAAGAAAGAAATCCGGATTGAATATTAACTTCTAATTTCCCCACATTTTTGTCAAAGTAATCTTGAACACTTTTTTGTGGTTGACAAAATAAGTGTCATAAAACTATATAATTTCTTTATTTTCTAGTTTTTGTATCTTTACTATGAAGCAATATAAGATGCACTTTTCAAGTCAATTAACTAAATATCAGGAAAAAAGGGTAGTTAACTTCAATTGTTTATATTTGTAATGGAAGAACTATTTATAAGCTTTGATTAACTAAATATCAGAAAAAAGGGTAGTTAACTTCAATTGTTCATATTTGTAATGGAAGAACTATTTATAAGCTTTGATTAACTAAATATCAGAAAAAAGGGTAGTTAACTTCAATTGTTCATATTTGTAATGGAAGAACTATTTATAAGCTTTGATTAACTAAATATCAGAAAAAAGGTTAGTTAACTTCAATTGTTCATATTAGTAATGGAAGAAGCAAAATTACATTATTCTTATCCTGATTTTTCATATAAGACTCTATAACATTTTCAACAGTGAAATACTGGCATTTAGACATTGAATAAAATTGATATTTTGTTAAAGTGTGAAAGGAGATCAAAATGAGATCCTTTCACAGTGGGACATGGGACCAATTTTACAAAAAAAATTAGAACATAATTATAGGATGCTGATTACTTTCTTTATTTTGATTTGAAAAGGATTTTTTAAAATAATTCAACAAGACGTTTTGTGTAGGAATTTCTAACAACATAAACCGTTCACGGTAGCTAAGTCGGTAGAGCGCTCGCTCCGTGATCGGGAGGTCGTGAGTTCGTATCTTGGCTGCGACTGACCCAGTCGATAAAATGGGTAGCAACTGTTCCTTCGCCATGCGCTCGGCACTTTGAATTGAAAGTTGCGGGTCCTTCGGATGAGACCTTAAAAACCGAGGCCCCAATTCAGCGGCAGGCCTTGTCACGATAACGATCCCTCACTGCTCAATGGCCCTGAGTGCCGAGTAAAGGTCAAAATTTGAAGCCCTTCATTGGCATACGGTGATGTCTCCATATGAGTGAAAAATTTTCGAGAGTACGTTAAACAATATACAATCAATCAATCAATCTAACAACGTAATTAATTTTGCAAATTTTACAAACAACATAAGTATCATATATATTGAATCAAATGCTGATGGACGTTTTTCATACTAATTTACACGCTGAATTGTCTACGAATTTTGTTCTGCCTTTTTTTGCCGATGATGACAAGGAGCACACACAGGTATTACCGACCTAAGGAATGCTTACTCCTATATTGAATTGATCTCACCTCTGAACTTTTAAATGTTCCTGATTTGCATTCGTTAAATAGATTGAGCTTGAGTAATATTCGTTATCTGTATACCCCAATATCTCACGAACAAAATTAAAAATCAACGCTCATTGTACGTGGATCAAATCATTATAATTATTTATATTAATAAAAGTGTCCAAAATCTCCTGTCTGTCTTTCTGTATGTATGTAAAAGGTGAAGATAACGAACAGTGATCGACCACGCTAAAAAACTACACACAATACAATTCTGTGTATAGCGCATAACAGAGACACATATAAATCGATAAGATCAGATGCCTGGGAGGAGTAAGCGTACCCTGTTGACCGATTATAAACTGCCTTGTGCCCTATTTATTGATTAAGTATACAGAATATTCTGTAGTCAAATTCAGCACAAAAAGTTTTGCCAAGTGATATATAACAAGTCAGCCAAAAACCAGGACATTAAAAGTTTATGCAAGATAATCTTGCCGTTCTATATATCTGTATACACACAGTCTGTTGGTGTTGCCTGATCCCATCCAAACAAGATGATTTTTCTCGTCATATCCCAGTCCCAATGACTCAACCATTCCATCTTGTTTTGTTGATATAATTGACAGGAGATAGCCGTCCTTGTCAATCATGTGTATTGTTTGTTCAGTCGACCACAGATCAGGATATTTAAGAATGCATGTGCACAAATTCCACTTGGCATAAAGAATCCAGAGGTCAATCCTTTCGGCAGTCCTGTGTAAGTGAAACGATATTTCCCTTCACGGTTTGTGACTACCACACCCTGCCCCATATCAGACACAACAATATCCCCAATCCTGTTCTCCGTGATGTAGACAGGGTCACGATATAATGGTTCGCCTGTCTTGTGGTATTGGATGGTTTGGATTGGTTGTACTGTTCTATTATATCGAATGACTTTTACATCTG